GATGCATCTGACCACCAGGAATTAAGGCGTGTACTTTAAACCAGTTACGAGGAATGAATTTGCAACGACGAAACGCGGAGACAGTGCTGCATTTTTGATTAACTTGCTTAAGTATGTAACTTTTCTTTGTGAAATTCTTGCATGTTGTCAGTGAAAGCAGGCTTTCACTGAAATGCCCGTTTCAGAGGATTGAAAAATCATTGTAAATAGAAGTTCCAATACAAATAAAATGGTAAACTTGATGTACCGTTTAAAGACATAAACTGTATTTTTGTCGTATTGTACCAGTTGAGATGCAGTGAACTCTTCCTTGGTATAAATCTTGCAACCTAGCTTTGTTGTGATCTCTCTCTACAAATAAAAGTTTTATAGATACTGAAATCTAAAGGTCCATTAACTACAATTTATACGCGCGAAAAATCTGGGCAACGACCCACATGAATCTGGAATCCCATCGCTAACTATGTGAGGTGAAGATCCGTAAGCNGCAATAGCGTCAAAGAAAAAAATTAAATATTAATTTATATTGCTCATCCTTCAAATCTCATCTTCACACCCACATTTACATACAATCACGATACAGCAGGCTTGATTTTCGCTCTTTGGTGCATATTCGCCAGCCCGTTCGGCATTCAAACTCACGCACCTTCACATGGATGGTGAGCGGGGATTCGCTGAGTATGAAAATGAAATCTGATTGATGGTCAGCTTGAATCACTTTCACTGAACGCATCACTAATGATAAGTAAATGTGTGGTCAATGTGAAAGTAAACGACTACTTAAAATAGTACACTGGTTTTGTCAGACTTATCAGTCGCGTAGGAATTCTATTTTAACTGTGCAATTAAGATTATCTTGAGGAAAAAATTATCAAAAAACTCACACAACTCAATCAATCCAGGAATTTTATGGATCAATATTGCTGAACAGACACTGACAGAAGTGTTAATGGTCACTTACCTTCAGGTTGTGTGCTTCTATAAACTCTGAAACAACACGTGGCATGTTATCCACGATCCCTGTCTCACAGAGCCATCGAACTTGCATCTCTTCTTTGATTGTTGCAGCGTCAATACGCAAATCCATGGTCAAATTCTCCACGGTGGATTGCTATTGATAAATAAATAAATAAATAATAAATGCACTGTGGTAGACAATCGGTTTGTTTTAAAACTTCCCGCGGTTTGAACAGGAGAAAATATCATTAAGGTCGTCTGAACTTCGCATGATTGTATAAGAATCTAATAAAATGTACATGATTTTAAAGTCTTCTCAGAGTTATCAATCGGATTCAGTACATCACAACATTCTCTGTTATCAACTTGTGCATACAACGTCTCTAAACCCCTTCAGTCAACCGACCTATCACCGAAAGTATGATTATCAAACATCCATTTTCTTCCAGTTCTCATTCTGTCTGAACACTTATACTCGTCTAACTTTGGTTTATAACCATAGACTAGTATCTTTCAGTCTTCGATGCAAAACACGGCCTGCACCGGTTAGCACCATTGATGCACTCGTACAGCCACGGTCTCACAAAATCCATTAGGTTCAATTTATCTATTTTGTATCCCCAACCTCTCATCTCCTAGTATTGCGCTGGTGCTATGCGGAATATTATTTACCACCGGCTTGAAAACAAGCATGGTGCCAACGCAACAACGATGACAGTGAAGAGGATAGGTGAATTAGGATACAGAACATGGTGCTATGCGGAAACAGTGCTTAAAGTGAATTTATCCATAAAAACCTGCCTGAGTGGTGGATCTTGGATGCTGCAATCTGTATGATGTCCAGCTCTCCTAATGAGACCCTGATTGGCTCAAATCTCCAAGCCCCGTGATTTCTAGTATCTTCAGTTATCATATAAATTTTGGTTATGATCAAGATGATGGGACCTTCCACTTTGCAGCGATCTATGTATTTGTAAGAAGAACAGATTGTTATGAGATACTACTCACATTCGCCCCAACAAGACCTCTTACAGTGAATTGTTGTTTTCAAAATGATAACTACGACCTGTTTCATTAATTATCCTATGTGCTGCCGGGAATTAGGATGACATGTTCAAAATGAGACATCTTAATATACGCAAGCCAATTTATTCCTACCCGAAATCTGGTTCGTATTAACTAATCTCTTCGAAACAGCACCGGTCTTTAGGCATTATAACAACATCAGAGAACAAGCTCGTTTGCCGTTATTCTTCTATAAGCTAACACATCACGATTTATATCAAATTATCTAGTAGGGGAGAGAAATCAAGACAAATGGGAAAAGAAATAATCAACATTCCAGTTCTATGATCGTATTTTGCTCACACTTTGGTCGTCACATGCACACTGGTTCGGGTCGTTGGGGGTTAAGGAGCCTAGGCTGGACTAGGTAGGTGAATTACGATGGCTTCAGCTGTAGCCAGAATGTGACTCCTAATTCTTTTAGATCGACGACTGCGAACTTAGTAGAGGGCTCGACCACATTAGCCACGTGATTTGATTTCAATAGGTGGTAACTAATCACCGAAGGAACTGAAGAATATGCTTAAAGATGGAATTTGAAGGATGGTCAATCACAAGCAACAATAATACTTATCTTTCCTTGCTACTCATCAGTAGCTACAAGTTGATGATGAAACATTATGAAGAATAATTCGATTCAAACTTACCGGCACTTCTTCGGCGTCCACCAGCTCTGGTGTGTCGAGTACAAGGACCTCCCCTGTAGACAGACTGGACGAAATCGCCTGTAGAATATGCGTCAAGTGAAAAAACAAAAGTACGTAGATTTAATCTCTTTTAGATGCACTTTTTCGGGATTAAAGTTCATGTTGCTGTACAAACGTAGCTGAACATAACATTGTTAAATTGGTGTTAATTAATCATTGTTTGCTCTCTTTCAACTGATAAATCCCATGTCCTTTCGATTGACTCATAATAATATGGACTGTTTAGAATTAATAATGAAAAAATTTCTGCACTTTAAACTATTTTCCAAACAGCGATGATCAAATGACCTCTCCTCCTTACCCGAAGTAACACCATAGCACAGTTCTCAGTTCTGCATTTTTAATTCGTAGTATGTTCCAGATAACAGGAAATAAATGGAGAAGTGCGTTTTGTTGTGGAAGTATGCTGCGTAAAACACCACACCGCATTTACAGTAAACGTGAAGTGTGCGTA